AAGGCGAAGCTGATGACGAAATTTCTTGAAGGATGACGAAGATCTGTGAGGATTGCTGGAAAACGTATGAAGATCTATGAATATTTCTGGGAAAATGAAGAACTCGGTTGAAGATCTTTAAGATTTTTCTGGAGATGTGATGAAGGACGATGAAGGATCTGGGCGGGATGATGAAAATCTATGAGGAACCGGATGAAGATTTAGGTAGATCTTGATGAATCTGGGGAACTGGACAAGCGTGGTGAATTTTCCGGCGAGACAAAGCAGTTTCCGGCGAGTTTGACGGTGGCGTCTGGTGATTGTTGTTGAGGATCGGAGGAGAAAGATGAAACTCTTGAGAATCTGCAAAATTTGCAGATTCCGGCGAGCTGAGCGGCGGCCGGAGGTCGTTAGGGTGGCCGGAGTCGGTTGTCACCGGGCTTGCATGGCCGGCGGGGACTTTCCCGGTGAGAATGAGGTGCCACCAAGTGGCAGTCGTGCATGCAGAGGGTGCAGGATGTGAGGACGCGTGGCAAGGTGCTGGCAGAGAGAGAGTGAGTGGGTCAGGGTGAGGTGTCAGTGTGTGGGAAGAGAGAGAAGAGGACGCGTGGCCTTGCTTAAATAGCGACACATGGCAACTTTTCTGGACAAAAATGGACAAAAAGATTTGGGCCTCCAAAAACCTCTGAAATGGGCCCACGAAAATGACCCTAAAAACTGAATTAAAATGACTTAAACCTAATTAAAAACTAATTAAAGACTAAACCTAATTAACTAGTTAAAATCTGACTTACCCTAATTAATTCTAACAAACTCAATTAAACCCTAACTAATATTAAACTCTAATTAAACTAATTAAATCCTAATTAAATCTAAAAGATGATTAAAATCTAATTAAACTCTATTAAACCAAAAAACAGAATTAACATCTAATTAAAAACAAACTCTAATCATTTCTATTAATCCTATACACCAATGAAAAAAAGACTATTAATTTCTATTAAACCTAATAAAGGAAATTAATATCTAACAAAAATTAAATCTATATTAAAAATAGACTCTATTTATTCTATTATCTAAAAGACATGACTTAATATCTAAAAAGAAATTTATTCTAAAATCTATTTAAAAACAAATTTATAAATTCTAAAAAAGATTTAAATTTATTAAAAATATTAAAAAATCTATTTAAATTCTAAAAAATCTATAAAGCCTATTTAAAATCTACAAAAGGCTATTAAATCCTAAAAAATGCAGACAAAGGCAAATAACCAACATAAAAGAGAGCGCGAGACCAGATCGAAGCAAAAACAGTAACCCCAGGCACCAAGAATCTCAAAAATCACTGCAAACTGAAAACACCCAGGAAGCGCGCAATTTTCCGAAAATAAAACCCTGATTATCTAGACTAGATCTGAAATATCCGGTAGATGAAAACCAAGCTATAACCCTGACATCCTCTGTCTGCGCACAAATGTCATGCATCTGATATGCGAATACGAATTTAAACCACGAACCAGATAGGAGAACCGGTTGGTCAAATTTTAGGGTGCAACAGTCTGTCTCTGTATCCTCCGAGAAGCTATCCTCAGAAAAATCTCTAAGATGCTCTTCTTCTTCGGCCCTGCGCGACATCTCTTTTACCTGAAAAGCAGAGGAAAATAGTGAATTCGATGACAAAATCAAATCCACCCTTCCACTGCTAGTCAAGTGAAAGGGCATGCAAAGGGCCAAGGACAAAATCCTCGACCTAAGCCCTACTCAAATGGCACAACTAAACAAATGGGGAAGGTGCCCGACAGTTCTCCCTAACGCATCCGGGGATAATACCCGGTCACAAAAGCCAGTAATTCCACATGGAAACCTCCAGAATCCATGTCACCTTAGCAGCTGCACCACTGTGTCTCCACTATCTCGGGATTAACTGAACCTATGGGTTTCTAACTTACATTTCCTAAAAGCAGCAACTACACCGCCGACAACAGACAGATGGTCGTGCCACCGTCTGCCACCAACAACCACCACTAAATACAGTCTATAACTAAGTCATTTCAGTCCTAACCACATGTAATCTAAGACATCAAAACAGAAAAATAAGGAATAAGCAGAGAATCGATGCACTTACGTGGTCGAGGAAGAAGTTTTGTACCTAAAGCGGCTATGGTCGGACGTCGTACGGTGTTCGGAATAGACTTCAAGGCAACGAACGACGATTAAAGAAGCGAGCAAGAAGAAGAAGAAGCAAAAGTTCTAAATGAACGAACCCCCTCGCTTTTTATAGGCAAATGACAGGCACGTGCACGAGCACGCGCGGGTAGGGCATCATCATGACCCTAGCCTAGCCATCATCACACATTTAATGCTACACACGGCTCAAGGCACACGTGGCGTTCCCACTCTTCCGATCTCATCAACCGTTGGGCTCCCCGGATCCCAAGGTCCCCGATACCAACATTTATGGTGCCCGGGCAAGTGTTCATCCGAACACAGGGTAGCTCACGACGACTATGCCTGAGAAGCAGATCACTCTTAAGTCATCACTACTGCGTCCGTTAGCAACGACTTAGAGGGCTACTATTCTGGACTGGCCCAATGGCTAGGCATGACCCAACCCACTTCTGCTCCCAGAACGGTCCAAATTCCGAAGTACAACCTCTTAGAGGGAAAACTTACCTTTCTGCCCCTCCAATAGGGGAAGTTGACCTATTTACCCTTGGTCACAACACTTCTCCCCGTCAGTACCTTCCCGTCACGCACGATTCCACCATTCAGAAACAGCCAAGACGCTTGTGCCCGTAACTACATCCCTCCCCGTGCTAACGACTAGTTATGGACACGTCTGCCCGTCCCAACGACTATTTCTGGCAGTTACATATTCTTCGGAAAACGGTTATCTCACCCCGAAAATAAGGACCAATGGCCAAGCGCTAGAGGCATTATAAAAACCCTCTCATTTGAGAGGGTCAGGTATCCAATTTCTCACCTTGAAACACACATATTCTGTACTTGCTCGCTCTCTTGCTCATTTTCTTACTTTAACATCGGAGTGCCTTGCAGGTACACCCCCTCCTCCTCTTTTACACCCAACATCACAGAAGTTTGTCTTTGCCCCATCCCAGGTTCTTATCATTCGGTAAGATCATATATATATATATATATATATATATATATATATATATATATATATATATATATATATATATATATATATATATATATATATATATATATATATATATATATATATATATATATATATATATATATATATATATATATATATATATATATATATATATATATATATATATATATATATATATATATATATATATATATGAGTTATATGAGTGAGGATCCACTTACTCCAAGAGTAAGTTTTAATAATTTACTCCACAATCATAACCTTTAAATTAGATTTAATTGAATGGTAAAAATGCTAATTTAATCACTAGATTAAATCAATTTAAAAACTATGATATGAAGTAAGTTAAAATTTTTTACTATTGGAGTAAGTTGATCTCTCTCTCTCTCTCTCTCTCTCTCTCTCTCTCTCTCTCTCTCTCTCTCTCTCTCTCTCTCTCTCTCTCTCTCTCTCTCTCTCTCTCTCTCTCTCTCTCTCTCTCTCTCTCTCTCTCTCTCTCTCTCTCTCTCTCTCTCTCTCTCTCTCTCTCTCTCTCTCTCTCTATATATATATATATATATATATATATATATATATATATATATATATATATATATATATATATATATATATATATATATATATATATATATATATATATATATATATATATATATATATATATATATATATATATATATATATATATATATATATATATATATATATATATATATATATATATATATATATATATATATATATATATATATATATATATATATATATATACACACAAACACACACGTATATTATAAGAAAATTATTTTTATGTGAGAATATAAGAATGAATTTGAATTATTAGATTTAAAATAAATGGATAAGATTATATGTCATTTTTATTTTCTCTCTTCTTTATTATTAAAATAAATAAATAAAATTAAAATATTATATCTTTAACCATTAAAATTCTCTCTCCTCTAGTCCATTTGTTTTAAATATAATAGTTTATATTTATTAAATTGAAAGAGATCGTTTTCATATCAACCAAATAATAAAAAAAGAAAAAATATAAATGAAACAATAAAAGAGTGAATAATAATGTAGAATAAACAACGTATATTAAATTATAGATTTTTATTATTATTTTAATGATTTAATTAATTGTATTAAATAATTAATCTATAATTATCTATGCCTAGGTTGTAGTACAACACAATTTAAAACATGTCACTGATCCGTTAACGTGAATTAATCTCGAGTTTATCTCTTAAATTCAGTTCAATTACACTGAAATTATTGATACACTATCATCCTTATCCATTAACCTAGCTTCTTAATAAGGTGAAATTTAATATGTATTTCAACTAAAGAACGAGCTATATTCTTTCTCTTAATCACCTACCTGTTCTTTTACATTTAACACGCCAACCAATAAAGCCACAAAACCTAACCAATGCATTTTCACAGGGCAATTTTGTCATTTCATTTCAATACAACTTTATATGGTTACCTTTCCCGATGAAACGGAATTCCATTCTTTGGTCTTTTCCTTTCGCAAACTAATCACTTTTTCATTTGCCATTCTTTTTCGTTCTAGAACGGAAGGCCAAAAATTTTCAAGCTCTCAATTCTTATCCAATACGTAAAAATCATAGTAAATCTCATAACTTAATTCACATTAATTTCTATACACAAAAATAAAAATAATTGAATTGAATTGAATCATTACATTTTTTTCTTCAATTGTTCGATTATTACTTTTGTTTTTCGAAATTTTGATCCTATTGAGCGAATTGGATTTCGTTTTCAATCCGATTAATTATCGAATTTCGTACAGAGGATTCGTGAATTTTGATTTTGTAGCTGTGGCGTTGATTTTTTTTTATAAGAAAAAATGAGGCGATGGTGCGGTGAAAACGACGTCGTTGAGGTTGAAGGAATTGATGTTAGTGTTTGTGTCGCCGCGGATGGTGATTTTTGGGTCAGCGTTGGCTCCGCCGGTGGTCCGATCGGGAAATTCAGCCTTGAAAGCGAACATGATTTGGCGAATATGGTTAACGATTTCATAGAGAATGCAGGAAGCTTTGGTGCTGAGTCTTGTTGTAGCAGTGATAGCGATTCTTCTCTCTCTGATTTTGCTCACCTTGCTGAAAAGATTCAGGTAATTATGATTTTGATTGTTATCAATTTAGGATTATTCATTCTTTGATGAATTTAATTAATTAGTTTGAATGGATTTTAAGATTGAATTTAGAAGTTGCTATATTGTGTGGTAGAGTATCTCTTTAGATACTCTTGTTTATGTTTTGCTTAATTTTATGGTCCCGTATTTTGGCTTCGTTTTGGATATAAAATCTTTTTTATATCAATTTGGTAGAATAAAACTTCATATATGTGCTATAAAGTTATAAATTCTAATTTCTATATATTAATTTTTTTTCAAATTATTACTGGCCTCTGGGTGTCCGTGTCGTGTTTCAGGTATCCGTGTTTCATAGGTATAAACACATACAGACTGTGTTTGCTTTCCTCATTCTCTTTTGTCTCTAATAAAGGAGTTGATCGCAAAATTTATATATTGTGGTTCAGCAACATAGTTTTGGTTTTTTCCCTTGATAATTACGGAGTTTGGAACTGCGATGGGTTGAAGATTGAAGTTGTAGCTTCTCCAGCAACTTTGTTTGGGTTGTGAGAAAACATAAATGAAACACGTAACCAACTAATGCTTTATGGATCGCAGAAAATAGGGATTTGTTTATAGTGCTATAGGGTTGCTTGACCACACTTTGTACTAAATTGAGGATTGCAGAACAGTATTGATATGACATGTTATTTGAATGGTGCCTGTTTTCTTTTCATGATCTAAGTTTTCTTTATGGTGTCATGTTGTAGTTTAAAATTGAAATGATATATTTTTAACCATATGTTTGTTATCAGTTTGGTTGTACAGAACTCTCTCTGCATTCCAATATGTTTACTAACATATGAAAGATTTATTTTCAAGGTTCTCAAGTCATCTTTTATGTTGTCTGAGGTTGAGTCTCTGCTCTCACAGTCTCAAGTATGGAAGAGAAGTGGGAAATTGATAGAAAAAATCAAAAGAAATGAACAAGATTGTTGAACAGTAAGAATAGGAAAATGGATTCTCCAACAAGGGATCCTTTTTACAATAGTCTTTAACTAACCAATTTCTCTCATTCCCCTAATTACTTGATCTAGACTTCCTAATCCTATCTACTCTTCCTCCTCCTACTTTTGTCATTAACTTCAATGGTTGTAGCCCGTGGATTGAACCATGTATTAAGCGAGGGTATACATAAATATCCTTAACGACCAAGCTATAACTCTCTAGGATTATGTACTTGTTTGTAGATTGTTTCAGATTTGTCTTAGTTGGCTGTTAATTGATTGTGAAGTCTACAAAGCCACCATAAGTTGTTTCCGTGTTCATTTGGTGCCTATTTGGATTTACTTATGGGTACAATTTATGACATGTCCGTCTGCTGTTTTTAGCTTATTTATACAAGTGCCTCAGAATAGCTTATGAAGACAAGCCTACATGAAAACAATTTGACTCTAGTTTATCTTTTGTTATCAAAATAGCTTATACACATGCACTTATAAGATAAACACTTATACTATACGCTTAATTAATCTATTTATTCAAACGTGGCCTTGGTCTATTGTGTTAGTTTGTATTACATTAAATGTTGATGGTTGTATCCTGTACTTAATTTACAAGTAGTGGTTGTCTGTATAGATTGTATGGGATGTTTCGGTTTGCGAATGTTGTTCTTTTCAATTCCTTTTCCTTATTTTGATTTTAGTAATGGGTTTGATTGAGAATTTCAACACATAATCTCCTGTTTCTAGGAGTATGACTGGAAGCAGTTTCTACTCTTGTCAATTATTTGAACTCAAGACTTGGGTTATACAGCAAATAAGACACAAAAAGTAGAAGGAGATTTGCCTTTCTATTGTTAATTGTACAAATAAATGATTTCCTACTAACTTTAACTTGTTATGAATGATTTTTTAATAACTTCCCTGACTATGTTTGATGTTTTATGATACAGATCTGTAAGCGATCGGTGACTCAACATGAGAGTGACTTGATCCCAGTTGTTCATTCTCTCATACGGTCAATGAAGGAGACCAACCTAGAAATGATGAATTCTGGTCCATGTTATGCAAGCTGCATCAGATTTTATTTGGCAAAGTTAATGAGACTTTCTGGCTATGATGCCGCTGTTTGTACATCTAAATGGCAGCGTGTTGGCATAATCCCTGGAGGTATGCTGTATTATAATTATGTGATTGATTCTACTTTTGCTTCATGGAATTGCACTTTCATCAAGCTGCCTAATTGGTTTGCATGTAGTGCTAAATATAAAACTGTTATCTGCATCGATTTTTTGTATAATGTAAAAAGAGTGAAATGACATGCTTTCTTGGATATAGCTCTAGTTTGGATTATAATTTTTTTAAGAGAGCTTCTCAATCAAATAGTTATTTTAAGTTTATGATTATTCTCTTGCAAAGAAGTTCTTATAAGCTTATATATGTTAATGGAGATGCTAAATTAGAGAGGATCAAACAAACTAAGATGCAGAATTGAATTTCAACTTATATGAGAAACTGTGTTTATTTTAAATCTTAGAATTTCAATTTAAACTCTACTGCTTGATGCTGCTAAATTCAATACTCTTCACCAAAATTATTGCAGCTCATAAATGATTACTGTTATATACATAATACATTTTAAAATATGTTTCATTTCACAAGTGCTTGTTTATCCAAACTAACACAATGTTACTTTTAGTATCGAGTCTATTCCCCGTTTATTATCTTATTATCACCTTTTGTTTTCAGCTAATGTATGTGTGTAAACTTGTTGCATAGGTGATCACGAATATATTGATGTGCTGGTCGAGAATAACTCTGGAGAATCAGAGCGGTTGATTATTGATATCGATTTTCGAAGCCACTTTGAAATAGCTAGAGCTGTTGATTCATATGACAGGATACTGAATTCGCTTCCATCTGTTTACGTGGGTTCCCTTACTAGGCTGAAACAGTTTCTTGGAATAATGGAGGAAGCTACTAGATCTTCTTTGCAACAAAATGCTATGCATTTTCCTCCATGGAGATCTTTAACATATTTAAAATCGAAGTGGCTATCGCCCCATGAAAGAATCATTCATTCAGACAGCAGCATTAATATTAGCAAAGGCGGCGAATGCTTTGACCACAAGCAATGCCGTGGACATTTGAAGAAGCTGCAATCTTGTCTTCAGGCAGGAATAGAAGTAGAGCGAGTGTTAAAGGCTCGTAACATTGAAAGTAACTGGAGGATGAAACCTGACAGATGGAGGCAAACGTTACTCCGGCCTCTTTAACACGTGTACAGATTTTGGTTCTGAAGTTCTCATATGAATGAATGAATAAATATAAAATACAGAATTTTGCGGCTTTTTATTCCTTCAGATAAACCTTCTCCTAGCTACCTAATAAAGAAGCCTTAGCAACAACAATGAGGCGATTTTCTATATGCATCACTTATTTGTTCTAATCGGTGTTTGAGGTGTGACACTTGTGGATTCTTGAGTTTATGAGCTTTATGTAGCAGCGGGGACATTACTGGGTATCTGTACTCTACCTGATAACTTCCTAGCCTCGTATTTTTGTTGGGACTTGGAAATTTTGATATATTTTATGCTCTAATTTTTTCTATATATGTTTTCATGATTAATTTTTGATTGATGAGCTGAAGTATTTGTAATTTTCTTTCTGTTTTGAGAACTTTGGTTAATGTCTGTTTTGGTCATGAAAAAATTAATAGAGCAAAACTTTGAAACATGCTTATTTGGTTACATGCAAAGTAGCTTTGGAATTTTTTTTTGCTTGAATGTTAATATAAAACTTACTTTCAATTTCTTTATATTTCTATCTTAAGCTCAATTGAGTTTTTTAGTTAATGGAATATACACCTGTTGTGAATTAGATACCTTAAAATTAAATATAAACAGTTTTTTAATGATTAAGAAACACATAAGAGTTATGGTTAATATTATTAAACTGCTATTCTTTCCTTTCTCTTAGAGCAAGATTACAAGTATACAAGAATAACAAAATAACCTCTCTCTCTTGAAATTAGGATTTTATCTTCCTATTATTCCTTAACCTCTCTCTCTTGAAATTAGGATTTTATCTTCCTATTTTTCCTTATGACAAGATTGAGAAACTAGTATCCTATTTATAAGAAAAATAGCACACTAACCTAATGAGTTTTTTAACAATTACCCATTACAAGCTAACTTAGGGTACAAACTAACTTAAACAATTTGACTTATCAGCAAGGCCCAATTTAACATGCTAACAACTCTAGGAATATTGAATAATGCATGTTAGAACAAATTTTGACTACAACACGTATTACTTGCGAACAGACGTCGACCCTACTAGAGTTCGATCCAACATCTCACAAATTTCCACCTTAGATCTAACTCTATAACATCAAGAAACTAACTTTCTTCATGCAACTTTATTAACTGCATACAGTGGAAAAACTTGCAATTGGGCAACGTCTTGGTGATCATATCTGCAGCATTATGATCTGTCGAAACCTTCAGCACTTGGACTTCTCCACGCTCGATTACCCCTCTGAAATGCAGCCTCACATCAATGTGCTTGGTTCACTCATGATAGGCTGAATTCTTCGACAGGTGTATTGCACTTTGACTATCGCATTTAACAGTGATAACTCGACCTTGAAGTTTTAGCTCCTTTGCAAAATCTTCAAGCCACAATGCTTCCTTCACAGCTTCAGTTAGGGCAATATACTCCACTTCAGTGATTGATAAGACAACAACCTTCTGAAGTGTTGCTTTCCAACTGATTGTTGTTCCAAACATAGTGAACACATATCCAAAGATAGATTTTCTAGAATCCATACAACCTGCATAATCAGAGTCGACATATCCTTCGATTGCTGCTTTACTATCTTCACCCAAGGCTCCACCATAAATTATGACTCTATTCAGAGACCCATTTATGTACCTTAAAATCCACTTTAATGCTTACCAGTGAGACTTTCCAGGATTCGTCATGTACCTGCTTACAAAACTTACTACATATGCTATGTTGGGTCTAGTACATACCATATCATACATCAAAGAACCTACTATGTTAGCATATGGAATGCTATTCATATAAGTTCTTTCAACATCAGTGTTGGGACACTGATCTATACTCAGCTTGAATTGAGGATTTGTCAGAGTCACAACAAGCTTTGAATTTGACATACCAAACTTTTCGAGAACCTTTTGTAGGTATGCCTCTTGAGATAAGCATGATTTCGACTACTTTCTATCTCTCTGGATATCAATCCCAAGAATCTTGGACGCAACTCCCAGATCCTTCATGTCGAACTCTTTATTGAGTTCAGCCTTCACCTTCATTACCTCTTCGACATTGTTGTTTGCTATTAGAATATCATCTACATAGAGAAACAAAATAACAAATGAATTACCCGATCAAAATCTGAAATAAACACAGTGGTCGAACTGACTTCTGATGAAACTTATGTGTGCCATGAACTTGTCGAATCTCCTATTCCACTGTCGAGGAGAATGTTTCAGTTCATATAAAGATCTATTCAGTTTGCACACATAATATTCCTTTCCTCTTTCGACATACCCTTCAGGTTGTCTCATCAGGATTGTTTCATCTAGATCACCATACAAGAATGCAATCTTCACATCCATCTGTTCCAGTTCAAGGTCGAACTGGGCCACCGTGGCAAGCAAAATTCGAATGGATTTGTGCTTCACAACAGGAGAGAACACATCATTGAGGTCAAGACCTTCTTTCTGAGTGAACCCCCTAGCAACTAATCTTGCCTTGTATCTCTTCGACGCCACTCCTTCGATTCCTTCCTTAACTTTGAAAATCCATTTACAACTGACTAACCTGGCTCCAGTAGGTTTCTTAATCAGTTCCCATGTGTTGTTATCATGAAGAGATTTTATCTCATCATCCATGGCCTTCATCCATTCAGTATTTTTTCGACTCCTCATAACTTCCTTATAGTCTCTAGGTTCTTCCTCTAGAACCTCACTTGCAGAAATTAAGGTATAAGCTATAAGATCTGCATACCTAAGTCTCTGAAGTGGCTTGATAACTCTCCTCAACCTGTCTCTTGCTAGAAGGTAGTCATTATCAGTCTCCTCATCTTCGACAACATCTTCTGCGTCTTCTTTGACTTCATTTGGGGTACACAATTCAGCATCAACATGCTCCACCCCAACAGGAATCTCTCTCTGTTCCAGTTCTTCGTCAGCATCATCAGTTTTCTTGAAATCCATCTCTGCTTCATTGAAAACTACATCTCGACTGGTGACACACCACCTGTGACCTGGCTCTAGACACCATAGTCTATAAGCTTTGACTCCTTTAGGGTATCCCATGAACATGCATTTCAGAGCTCTAGGTTCGACCTTGTCTTGCCTAATATGAGCATAGGCCAAACAACCAAATACTCTCAGTTTGTCGAGACTAGGTGGATGTCCCGATCAAACTTTTTCAATTGTCTTCATTTCCATGGCAGTCGAGGGACATCTATTTATCAGGTAAGCTGCTGTCAAAACAACTTTCGCCCAAAGCACCTTCTTCAATCCAGCACTAACCAATATGCATCTAACCCTTTCAAAGATTGTTCGATTGAATATCTCAACTAAGCCATTTTGTTAAGGAGTACCTGTTATAGTCTTATGCCTTGCAATCCCAGACTCAACACAGTAACTGTTGAACGCTTCGTTGCAGAATTCAAGGCATTGTCGGTTCTCAACCTCTTAACCTTTCTGCCAGTTTGAGTTTCGACCAGAATCTTCCAACTTTTGAAACTCTCAAAAGTTTCATCCTTCGTCTTCTGAATGAATACCCATAGCTTTTTGGAATAGTCATCAACGATGGATAGAAAATACCTTACACCTGAGTGTGAAGGATTCCTTGTAGATCCCCAAAGATCAACATGAACGTAATCCAAGGATCCATGTGTTCTTTGCTTTTCTTTGTTAAACTTTGCCCTACAAGATTTACCAAATACACAAGATTCACAAAATTCCAACTTTTCAACTTTGTCACCTCCTAGCAGGTTCTACTTCCCCAATTCGACCAGACCTCTTTCGCTGACATGGCCCAATCTCATGTGCCATAATTTTGTCTTCGACATAGGTTTCGTGGATGCAATATTTGTCGAACCACTTACAACCTCAGCCTCAAGGGTATACAAGCCTTGTTTCTTCATGCCTCTCAAGACTTCCTTCGACCCCTTCATGACTCTTAGGATACTTTTCTCTCCTTGAAAAATGTATCCTTTTTTATCGAATTCACCAAGAGAAATCAAATTTCTCTTCAAGTTAGGTACGTACCTGACTTCAGTCAATATCCTTATTGACTCATCATGAAGCTTGAATCTCACAAATCCAATACCTGCAATTTTGCAAGATTTGTTGTTTCCCAGCAACACAGATCCACCATCTTGATCACATAGCTCCTCGAACAATTCTCTGTTTGGAGTCATGTGCCAAGTGCAACTTGAATCCATAATCCAGTCTTTTCTCGAGTCGCCACTTGAAAACACAAGAACATCAAATGAGTCGAAGTTATCTTGAACAATGACTGCATTGCCATTACCTCCATGATCTTTCAGGCGTTCAGGGCACACCTTTCTTATTTGACCCTCCTTCTTACAGTGATAACATTGAATACTAGATGTTTCACCACTATAAGACTTCTGTTGACTTTTACCTTTCTTCTTGTCGAACTTACCATCCTTTCGCAAGAATTTTCCCTTAACTGCCAAACCTTCACCCACCATCGAAGGTTTATGCTCCTTTCGTTCATCCAAGTCTTTAGAATACAAGGCTAATTGAACTTCTTCAAAGGTCAGGGACTCCTTTTCATACAAGAGAGTTTCTTCGAAGTGAGCATGTGTTCTGGGCAAAGCACACAACAACAATAGTGCTTGATCTTCATCATCGATCTTCACATCAATATTTTCAAGATCAATAATCAACTTATTGAACATATCCAAATGCTCAGCCAACACTTTGTCTTCACTCGTCTTGAATGAATATAAAGCTTGCTTCAGGTAGAGTCGATTCACCAGAGATTTGGTCATGTACAAACTTTCATGTTTCACCCATAATCCCAATATTGTAGTCTCCTTTAATACCTATCGAAGAACCTTATCGCCAAGGCTCAAGAATATTACGCTGTGGGCTTTCTCGATCATGCCCGTCTTTTCTTTTGTCTTTAACGCAGCGTCCATGGCTGTCTCACCCTTCAACGCTTCCAAACAACCACGCTGAACCAATAGGGCTTTCATCTTCAAGCA